CCACAAATATTTTTTCACACCGTTTTTTCCTGGCTAAGATAAAAGAAGATAAAATGTTTTATATTCAGATGAAATGCTGCCTTCAAACAATCAACAGCAGGAACGTTGTCACTTTATTGGATTTCATGTTTCCTGCCTGCCTCCATCTGACTCGAGTCGCCTGGGAGGTTCTGGTTCTGGTTCTGGTACCAGCTGCAGTAGCACTGGGTCCATTCCTCCCTCTGCTGATAGATGAACCTTTTGTCCTTTGAGGTTCTGGTGAAGGCTCCAGATAATGTTCTGGACCCGACAATGAAACCCTGAAGAACCTGAGTAGAGCCGGTAGTGTTCTGGCGGGTCGTTGGTTCTGGTCCGATGGTTTCCTTGTTTGTTTTCATGTCCAAACATCATTTTATTGTTGCAGAAACTGTTTGGGTGGAACGGTACCAACAGAACTTTTCAGTACTCCTCTTCGGGTCCGGTTCCTCACAGCGCTGCGATGGTGTGTTCGAGTGCAACTCGTCAATGTTTTAAAACGACTTTAAATATGGCCGCTGTCGTCCTCTTCAACATTAACCATTACTAAATAATGTAGTTAGGTAACTAAATCAAACCTGAAGACTTGATCTGTGGAAAATCTTAGAAAAATCTGCATTATTGGCAGAATAGTTTAAAATCCTTCATTTCTTTACTGAACAAAGTAAATAAAACATTTAGTGACACCAGTAATGAGTTGGAGAATGTAGATCAGGGAGGCTCGACTAGCTGGACATGTTGGCCTTAATATGTTACAAAATTAAACTAAAAGCTGTTTCCAACATGTAAAACTCATAATTACGTCAGAAATTGTGTCTCTATGTTTTCCGTCCGGAGGGCGCTGACTGTTGGGTTCGGTGGCGCATGCTGAGCCGGACTGCATCAGTTACAAACCAGCGAACAGGATCAGCTTGTGCTCTGCTGTTTACTGCGTTAGCCACAGCTAACACCGTTAGCTGGAGCTGTTTTAACAAATATGTAACATTTCTTTTATAAAGGTTACATATTGCAGCTTTAAATAAGTGTAAAGCTGTGTTGACAATTAAATAATGAGATTTATTTTTTTGTTCATTTTGAAGACAGATTTTACTACATTGTTTCATAATACGGAGCTACAAGTTTGAGTCCTTGTACCAATTTTTATTAGTTTATAACTATATTTAACACTTGGCTCCATATCTCTGTTATGTTTCCTACCTGGATTCAACATTATTTTTGATGCGTTTTCTACATGTTGTTTTTTCCTTTCAAATCAAATCTGCTGGGTTGAAAACCAAAAATCCTTGAAGTAGAAGAGGTTCCATGCCTGAATTTTATTCTAATAGTTTTTATTCCAGAGCAAATGATTAGAAAACGGCAAATATTGCAACGTTTTACAGATTCCCAAATACATGTTTACTGAAATCTCTTGAATTTCTTCTTGTGTTCTTCATCTCCTCAGACTTCCAGCAAATATTGTCTGTAGAATCGAGAAGTTTTTCTTTTACGGACAGAAGAAATCATTCAGAACCAGAAGAAGCAAAAATCTGCCCTGATGGAAGAACCGAAGGATCCAGATGGTCCAAATATAAAGCAGGAACAGGAGGAACTGCTGGATAAACAGCTGAAAAATGACCAACATGCTGAAGATCTGCAGATTAAAGAGGAAGTGGACGAATACTGCACCAGCCAGGATGAAGTTCGCCTTGTTCTGAAGGAGGAGACGGACACATTGGGGATGAATACAGCTCCTGAACAGAGAAACAACAGGGAACCAGAACCAAACAGGGACCGACTCCAGAACGCGCTACTAGCTGAAAACCAGCAACAGGAAGGGAAGAAGAAAAAATCAGGACTCTGTAAACATCCACAACCAAGGTCGAATAAGAGCTGTCAGAAATCCAGAGTTCAAAGTGACAGTACACACAGTTCCAAACGTAGAAGGCGGAGCAGATCTCTGAGCCAAACAGAAAAAAGTTTGTTTTCCTGTAAAGTGTGTGGCAAGAGTTTCTCCCAGAGTAGCCATCTGAACAACCACATGAGATCGCACACAAGTAAGAAACAATATCCCTGTGAGGTCTGCGGTAAGTTTTTAAATGACAAAGGTAGCTTAACGGTTCACATGAGAACCCACACAGGTGAGAAACCTTTCACATGTTCCACCTGTGGGAAAAGTTTTGGTGCGAGGAGCAGCTTCATTGCTCATGTAAGAACTCACACAGGTGAGAAGCCGTTTCCCTGTCCGAGCTGTGAGAAAAGTTTCATTGTAAAAAGTCATCTAATCACACACATGAGAATTCACACAGGTGAGAAACCTTTCCAGTGTCTCACCTGTGGAAAACGGTTTGGCGCTAAAAGCAATTTAAACACTCACATGCGAACACACACGGGTGAGAAGCCTTTTGCATGTGTGAGCTGTGGGAAAAGTTTCAGTGTAAGGAGTCACCTGATCACTCACCTGAGAACACACACAGGTGAGAAGCCATACTCCTGTCAATACTGTGGCAGAAGCTTCAGTTTGCGGAGTCATTTAAATGTTCACATGAGCACACATACAGGAGAGAAACCTTTTCCATGTGTGGCATGTGGAAAAAGCTTCAGAGTGAGAAGCAGTTTGACAATTCACATGAGAACGCACACGGATAAGAAGCTGCACATCTGTGATGTGTGCTGTAAAGGTTTCACTCAGAGCAGCCGTCTGGCTTCTCACATGAGGATCCACACAGGCGAGAGGCCGTTTCCATGTCCCACATGTGGAAAAAGTTTCAGTGCCAAAACATATCTGAATACACACATGAGGACTCACACAGATGAGAAGTCCTATCTGTGTGTGATCTGTGGGAACAGCTTCAGTCGAAAAAGCAACTTGAACAGACACATGAGGACGCACACGGGCGAGAAACCCTATGATTGTGAAGTTTGTGGGAAATCCTTTGGATGTAGTGGTAGCTTGACGGTCCATATGAGATCTCACACAGGTGAGAAACCATTTCCATGTGTCACCTGTGGAAAAAGCTTTAGTGTAAGAAGTTACCTGGTTATTCACATGCGAACCCACACAGGTGAGAAACCTTTCCCATGTGTCACCTGTCGGAAGAGCTTCCTTTTACGGAGTCATTTGACTCGTCACATGAGAGTTCACACCGGCGAGAAGCCATTCCCATGTTTGACCTGTGAGAAAGGTTTCAGTGTGAGATGTCACATGATGGCTCACATGAGAACTCACAAACAGGAGAAAGGTCTTTCTGACACGTGGCCTGTGGGAACCGTCTCCAAGGAGTTGAGATGACTCACCTAGAGTCCAGCATACCCTACCTGGGGAGACAGGTGAGCAGCAGTGACTTTAACCAATGAGAGACAAGAGCTTCCTCGGCTAAAACATTGAACTTTCAGAGTTGTGTTAAACTGGGAATCATTAAAAGTTGATGTATGTTGCTGTGTGATTTCTGTGAAGAATTTCTAAAGCAAGGATTTGACCTCAGTGTGTTTGTCGTTCAGTGACAAATGTGCTGCTTGTATAGATGGTGATGTTTATCCCAATCATGTTTATTCTCATGTCCCCTAAGAGTCTGGGTCAGTAATGTTTAAGGTTTATGTTCTGCACAACCTTTTCCCTGTTTTCTGATTCACAAAGCAAATAGCACTAACAGTTTATTAGCACAGAACTTCACAGGTTTCAATGAATCTGAAACCTTTTCTTGCCTCAAACATTGTAAACATGACCTGACTTCACAACACAACAGGTACAAAACATCAGAGAAAGACAATATTGCTGGTTAATACGTCTAACTAAATATTGGCACCTCTGAGCAGTTTGAAAAAATAAGAAACTTACAAGAACAAAACAGAACATGGACTGAAGAGAAATTAAACTGGTGCTTGAGGGTTGTTGTCATTTCAGAGAAAATATCATTTGAATTGAAGTTGGAGCTTTTGCATTAATTTCCTCCAAATACTGTGTTGTTGTAACAGTTAGCGTCAGTGGAACTGTTTATGGTTAGTGCTTTAGGATTAGCGCTGCTAGCTTTTCAGTTCAGCTATGTCCACCACTGAGCGACTTTCTGTGAGCTGCAGATACAAAATCTGGAGAAGTCGGTCAAGGCCTGAACTCATTGCTGAAGTGAGGGGAGCCCGTCGCCTGTTTATCATGGACATCATATTGAGTTATTTCATGTTTTTATGAATACATGAACACTTTTTTATTTTTTATTGTATATTTTGATGAAGGTTCTGCATTTCTGAGCTAAACATGATAGTTTGTTCCTTCAAATAAGGTTGTGAAAGATGAGTACCAACAATAAAACAGATGATGTGCATGAAGGTAAACAGTGTTCTGTTGTTCTTGAGTCAGTTTCAGCCACAGTTAAAACTGATGCTTTTTCTGGGAGAATAACTCCTTAATTCAGCATTATTCCTGTTTCTGGTTTCAATTCTTATGATCTTAACCTGGAAAATCCGATCCAGAAAACTTTGACAGGAAAGGTCCTCGGAGAGGTCAATAGTCTGTGGTCGGTCAGCTGAGCAGGACTGCGGCGTTCTGGATGAGCTCAGGACTTCCTGCTGAGCCTCTGGGATACTAGAGCAGATTTTATCGCCTCATTTTCTCCTTTTAAAGCAACTCAAACAGAAAACGTCCAGCAAGTCTTCAGATCTCCTGAACTTCAACTCCCAGTTAGGTAGTTACATTTTCTGAATCCAGACAAAAATTCCTACATTTTGTCTGGAATCAGACAAAATGTGAAGAATCTGCTGAGTAAGCAGTATGTGACGTAGCATTGATGTACGCATGCGTGTTACCGCTAGGTAGGATGGATCTGTCACAACCTTATGTTAAGCAAATAAGAAGAATTTGCTCAGACAGAATTTTGTTGAATTATATGGTAAAAATTAACCCCCCGCCCCCAATAATGCATGGAATCATAACTTTAGGAAAAGGGTAGCAGATGTGAAAAAACTGAATTATTTGAAAATGTGTTGTGATCAATTTAAACTTTAAATGATGTTTCTAGTTTAAAGTGTGTGGATGTAGTTGGCTGTGAAACTTTTTGCAAAGTTGGGCCAAATCTTTTAGATTTTCCAATCATTTTGATGGGTCAGAAAATGCATGAAATTAAATTGTTTCAAAGATTATAGAAGCTGAAATTGCCGCAGCCTACCTCTTAAAAACAAGCTCAGCGTCCAACTTGGGCTGAATCCGTGACAATGATGTCCGAGATGTTGTCCTGTCGGGAGTAAGCTTCCTCTGGAGCTTAATTTGGATAATTTGGAGATGACCTTTGACCCTTCCTAGGTTGATGAGAAGCAACAGTTGCTTCTCTGGGACCATTGCTGATGTCATTGTAGCCTGGGATTCTAACAACACCCAAACGCTTCAGAGCAGCAAACTAACCAAAACTGTTTCTACCTGCTGCCGCCGACCAATCAGAGCATTTGGCTTACAGAGCCGGTGTTCTGACTATCTGAGCTACCTCATTAGGTTTCCCTACAGTAGCACGGATAGATAGCCAAGTCTATCTATCCGTGCTACGCGTCCAAAACTGCTACCGTCATGTTTATGAACAGAAAACTACAGCAGGTTTTGTTCATGTTAAATACTTTGGATAACTTTATCTGAGTGACGGGGCTGAAGTGAAGCCTCAGAGTTATGGTTAGCTTAGCATTGGAACAATTTATATACACGACAAGAAGATCACTTCCTTCATCAGAATATCCTACCGGTTTAAAATGAAAAGCTATAGATGTATGCACTAGTCCTTTTACTGGAATATCCTACTTTTTTAAAGAAATATTTTAAATACAGAGGAGTTTGTAAGAATAAAACAGCATCAGATGAGGAAACAGGTTTTTATTGGAATTAAATTAAAAACAGACAAATACAGATCACTGCAATTTTTTTGTGCATTATTGTATAACAGACTTTATTAAATGCAGCGCAGCCACAATGTGTCCACCGAACTGTGCAGATCACTGTCTGTGCTCCTGGAATGATAGGATATGATTCATTTACACTAATATTAAACACGGCTATTACACAGCTTCAATCCCACGTAGTATCACTACCAACATCTATTTAGCAAAGTTTAATAAAAAAGAGTATTATTAAATTAAAATATAGGGACAAAATAGCCCCAAAAACAACGAATTTTGTCCTGATTAACCACCAAACAAAAACATGAAGTAAAACAGCAGCTTAATGAAAGCCAGGTATAAAATAAATTAAAGAAAGCTAACCGTAATCTTCGATGAAATAAAACACATGAAACGAAACTTCCACAGGTAGGATGTTTTTATAAGAAATCTGCTGAGTAAGCAGTATGTGACGTAGCATTGATGTACGCATGCGTGTTACCGCTAGGTAGGATGGATTTACGGGTAGCACAGATAAACAGAAGACCTGTTCGAGCGCCGCCCGTCCCACCGGGTGTGAAATGATGCGGAGCCGATGACGCATCCAGCGGAAGTAACCGAAGAAGTGGTTGCATTAGCTTCCGGTTAGCCTAGTGAGCTTGTGGTGTGTTTCAGGGCGTTTTCAGGTGTTTTCTGGTTCTATTCAGCAACAATGTGTTCCGTTGAGCCTCTGAGAGAGTTTATCAGAGAGAGACTAACTGCTGCTGCTGAAGAAATCTTCACCCAGCTGGAAAAAACCATCGTCCAGTACGAGGAGGAGATCGACCGGCAGCGGAGACTGCTGGACCTCACCTGGAGACCCCGAACCGAGCAGAACCCCGCAGGTAGGTCCGGCGGGGGCAGCGGGCGGGGTTACCACCTTTCAGAAACGGACATCAAGGAGGCGCTGTTATGCTGAGAAGCGCGTGCCCTGTCGCGGGAGCGCGCATCGCTGCAAACTCGCATATTGATGAGAAAACGGACTGAAATATGACCGAAGAGGAAACTTTTAAAGATATTCGTAAAATGATCATGGTTATTAACAATGTAAGCCCTAAAATGGTTTAATTGAAATAAATACTGTTTTGACACCTTTAATGACACGAGTCCAATGTCTTACAGTCTGATGAACACGTTCTCCTCTTTTTCATTTAACACCATAATAGCTTAACGCCTGAGAAAGCAGAGGCCCATTATGCAGAAAACCAACTTTAACTGTCCAGTCTATTAATACAGGAGAGGATGCATTTTAATTTCCGAGCCTGCCGATATCTGCATCCCGTCTATTGTCCTGTTGATGTGAAACTGATACCTTTAGTCCAGAGAACAGGTGTGATTATGTAGAAAAGGTTATTTCATTCTTAGCTCTTTGTTTCTTTAAGTTTGTAGGGGGAGGCATTTTTTGGCAATATGGATTATTATTCTGCCCATATTTGTCTGCCCTGTTTTTCAGCTCAAAATGTGTCATATAGATATGAAAGTCAGTCCAGTAGCTCAGAGGATGTGTGTCGTTATGTAGAAAACTTCATAAAACACATTACCATCCAATATTTTCATATTGCAGGTCATGCATTTTCTAGCAAGGGACATTTGGAGGACCTGATGACCCTCCTCACCTGGGGTCACTGGACCGTTTGACCTTATGCATTCATTATGTCACAACAAAGTGCGCAGCTCAGAATGAAACCACAGAGCCAACCTCCTGTGGATAATTATGTTTTTAAGGCAGTTAGACTGTCTGGTGCCACACAATGAGGAAGTAACACTTTGAGCAAGACTGAGATGAATTTTTTCTGCTTTATTTCCCAAAGATTTGGAGGAACTTAAAAACTGAATTTATTGATTAAAAGTTCCCACACCGTCATCGAATAAGGACTTACAATGATGAGCTCTTCCTCAGGGTTGGAATAATCTGCTAAAATCATCTCAGTGGTTATTAAAATGTTCAGACAGCACAGAGTTATGGGGAAGTTCTTCACGCAGCAGGTCTAAAGCACGTGTCAAACTTGAGGCCCGAGGGCCAAATCTGGCCTACAGTAGCTTTTGACCCTGTAGGCTCCAAATTACATCAACTCGTCCCTCCAGTTTTCACAAATCTGCAAAATTCAAACAAAGTCAAAAAATCTCCAAATTTTTTTCCAATTTTACTGCTAATCTTCTCAAAATCAGTCAGAAACATTGAGTTTAAGTGACTGCTGCTTCATCCTCACTTGATGTCTGTAACAGATATGGCGAGTAATAAAAAGTCACATTTAACATCATACATTAGCACAAATATTGAAAACAATCCTTACAAACGTTTCTAAATTGGTACCACAAAATCTGCAAATTTTGATTTCAAAAATCAAAATTTGATTTTTGAAATAAAATTTTCCAAAACTTGAACATTTTTGTTCATCCTCTGGATGAACAGGATTTTGTTTATCCAGAAAATCCTGGATAAAAAGCTGTTTATTGATATTTTAACAATTTAATTGGTTTTATCAGTATATTCTGGCACAACTGGCCCTTTAAGAAAATTCAGATTTTTGATACGGCCCAAAATGAAAATGAGTTCTAAAGTTTGGAGACTGCAGCGGGTCGGACTGTAACTGTCTGAGTAGCGCCGACTGAGTCTCACGTAGCATTAAAGGCTACACTGAGGCCAACACCCTCAGTGCCAACATGAATGTCTCATATCTTCCTCTTCCTCCACCTTTCAAGGTGTTTCTGAAAAAACCCGCCTGTTGCTCCTTAAGCAGCTGCACAGGCTAAAAAACTAAACCAGCTTCTTCTAATCCAGTCTGGGTCACCAGAGATGTCTGCTGCTCATTCCAGAAGCTTTGTCATGTTAGAAGAACACCTTTTTATTTTGGTCTCCTTGGTCCATATAGGCCTCCAGCAGCAGGAACCGGTCCATCAGGACCTCTGGCAGCAGAATCACTGCAACACTGAAGATGTTCCCTCTGACCTGGAGTCCAGTCAGCAGAATATTGGCTCTGGTTTGAACCCAAAGGAACCAGAACCAATTAAAGAGAAACTCCATGACGTCCTCGGCTGGGGAGCGGAGCAGCTCGTTAAGCAGGAGCCTGATCCCTGCATGGTGACTGTCGAGTACGACGACATGTTCCCCACTAAAGCAGAACCAAACACAACCCAGATCTTTTCTCAGAACTCGTCTAAAGCAGAGATCCAGAGTCAGGAGAGAAGCAACCATAAAGACTCAGGATCCTGCAGAGATGAAGCTCCTAAAGCTCCAACTTCAGATGATCCAGACCTGAGGACGGCTGAGAACGAACCCCTCACTGAGGAGAACCTATATTCATGTCAGTTCTGTGGGAAAAACTTCACCACTTGCAAGGACCTGAAGGTCCACTGGAGGACCCACATGGAAAAGAAGCGTCATACTTGTGGAGTGTGTGGGAAAACTTTGAGTGACCGCAGCAGTTTGAGGAAACACCTCCGGATCCACACAGGAGAGAAACCATATCCTTGTGAAGTGTGTGGGAAAAGATTCAGGAACAGCTGCGGCTTGACAAAGCACCTCCGGATTCATACAGGAGAGAAGCCATTCACATGTCAGACCTGCGGGATGCGTTTCAACCAGAGCAGCATTTTATACAGACACATGAAGAGGAAGAACCACTGAGAAGACCCCAGAGAGCTGAGGAAGACGAGTCCTGGATCTGCAGCTGGTCCTCCAACAACAAACCAGATGATCGAGTTTTATGACTCTGTCCCAAAAAATGTTCAGCTCTGGACTGTGTCTCATTTTCCTTAGCAGCTAGTTTGCATGATAGTAGTTAAAAATATTAGTTATGGGGTTGTTCAGCTTTTAAGTTGGGCTGTTTGATAAATTCTCAGACGTGATTAGAATCGTCGTGTTGGTGATCTTTCCTGATTTTCTGAATTCATTCCTTTATGAGCCACTGAGTTTGACTTATTCCAGACAAACTGGAGTTGATGCCCCAATTCAACAGAAGACTTGTCAATTTTCATTAATAATAATTTATTGATTATATTTAATAATTACATAAGCCAAACATGGATGCAAATTCTGATTCCCAATAACATTGACCAGACTGGAAGGGTTCTTCAGACTCCACTGGAAAAAATCCAACCTTTAATGTCTGAGCTAAGCATTAGCTTAGCATGGCTCTACTGTTTGCTGGAAAGCCAATTAGGAGATGCTAACCTGGTGCTAACTGTATGAAATCAGGTCTATATTTCATCTGCAGAGAAACCACATTCTGACCCGTAGCGGTCACTTCTGCTAACCCGTCTGTTGTTCTCAGAGATGGATTGATGTGGGTTTGTCATTAGTTACCCTTTTTTTTTCATGACGAGACAACTGGATGAAAATGTTAGTGGATCTGTCAGAAATCCAACATGTTTGACATTTCTGCCTATTGTCTGTCAGTCAGAAGCTGAAAGCATCAGTACAGCTGCTCCACCCTGTTTGGCCCCGCCCACCACCTGAATGATTTAATCATTAGTGAACCATAGCAGCGAGTCAAACAAAGAGGTTATACATAAATCCTTCCGGAAAGCCCAAAAGGATTCATGTTTATTTTCTGAGTGGGCTATAAGCCTTTTGAAACAAGGACTGAATTGTTGAGTCTGTCAAGTTGAACCTAGTGGACAAAACAGGAATGTTTAACGGCACCTGAAGGCTCAACACACTGACATTCTGTCACAGGCAAGTTACTACTGATACATTCAATGTTACCCGACAATCAACTTGTGATGAATTTATTGGAAGCTATGAGATTCCACATCCTAGCCACACTGTGCTAACGTCAGGCTAAAGTTCAGTTGACTACGCCGCTGTAGCGGCTGACGCCATCTTGTAAAATACAGTCGTTCTTTATTTGGTACTTAAATGTGGAAACATTTGAAATATCAAGACTGTCATGATGGCCGCGCTGCAAACTGCTGATCCCTTCAGGAGCTGATGTCACGGTTGCCTAGAGACAGACGACAAACATGGCGCTGCTCTCGTTGTCTGCACGTTTTTAAAACGTCCACCTGGTAGTCGTTGCAGTCTCAGAACCAAAACCTCTTCCAGATGCCAGTGGGAAGATGTTGGTCCCTGACTGAACGGGATCCGTGAGGATGAATGAAGGTAAATTTGAAAATGAAAATGTGTGTGAGAGTTTGAAATGGACTGGCTGGATCAGGACAGCAGCGCTGCAGACACACAGACTCGCATGGAGCATGAAGGATTTTGTTTTATTGAAAACAAGGCCAGAAAAATAAAGACCTTTAAAAATAGTTGCATTTGTTTTTGTATTTCATATTCAGACAACAACTTTATGCTACAACTGGTAAAAAACCCCAACCCACAGTCATTTTGTGTTAATTCCAGAGAATTGATCAAAAAATATTAGAATTTTACATATAAGTTTGTCAGTTAAATTGGCAGCAGACTTGGTCAACTAAAGTTTTACAAATAGTTGACTGAAACTAGACTAAGACTAAAACAATTCAGACTAATTAATAACTCAAACAAAATGACATTTTTGTCAAAAGACTAAAACTAGAGAGAATTTTTCTGTCAATATTGACCTTGATCTAAAGATTGGATAACCTATATAAAAAGCAACTTTTCAGACAGATGGATTCAGCTTTCACTTGGAATTTAGTCTAAATGCTTTTAGTATGATAGGAAAATGTTTTATTCACGAAGTCGTTTCCTAAAAATTTTAATTGCATTAAAACTGAATGTATACCAAAGCTTGTATTACCGAATTATGTGAATGGGTTTTTCATTTCATATTATATTTAGACATTTGTATCCATCTATAAATATTCTTTGAAAAAGGTGGAAATGTGAGTTTGATTTTGTTGTTTCTGATCATTTTCTGCTTTGGAGTTTTCAATGAAGAACAAACAATTTAAAAACTAGCTTATTATAAAGATAAGTGGTAATATTACCCCTTCTACTAACAATAACAATTTTTAATTTGCTATTGAAGTGTAATTTCTTTGTTTTCTTTGTTTGTAGCATAAAGTGGAACTCTAATTCGGTGTTTCTCTCGGAACCTGAAACTGTGACATCCGGTGGAAGTAAACAAAGCAGCTAGCTCGGTTAGCATCCTGCTAGCAGCTGTCGCCGTGTCCAGGTGTGTTGTGAGTCTGCGCAGCAACAATGTGTTCCGTTGAGCCTCTGAGAGAGTTTATCAGAGAGAGACTAACTGCTGCTGCTGAAGAAATCTTCACCCAGCTGGAAAAAACCCTCGTCCAGTTCGAGGAGGAGATCTACCGGCAGCGGAGACTGCTGGACCTCACCTGGAGACCCCGAACCGAGCAGAACCCCGCAGGTAGGTCCGGCTGGCCTCCCAGGGTCTGAGGA